AATGTCGGGAAGTGGCCAAATCACCGCGTAAATGTCGGGAAGTGGCCAAATCACCGCGTAAATGTCGTGGCAACCACAATAACGGTATTAACGGGAATCTGTTGTTTTCAGTCCATAGACAATATAAATTAATGGTTACTGTGCAAAAATGAAAGTCTTTGGCAAAAAAATTTTTGGTTAACAGCAGAGCGGCGCCTCCACATACCAATACAATACATACCAATACATGTAGTATTGGTAAAAGACGCGGATCTCCGGCGATATTACAGTTTAAATCTGCAATAAATAATTTTTAGTCTAATAGATTTTGGACTCTAAACTTAATAATTAACTAAAGATAATGTTATAAATTCAAATTTATTTGTTTTGCGCAAATGAAACATCAGAACTGATCTTTTTTTTATTCTAATGTAAGTGTGCAGTTGACCTCCGTCTCACCTGATGGAAAGTGACGATGAGGTCGACCATAAAGCATGCACACCTAAATAATGCCTATTCACTCTCGCCTTGAGAAGGTCCAAGTTATAACGTTCAGGGAACAAGTCTGCAGGCAGGGAATTCCACTCCATAGCCGTTCGCTGTATAAATGTGGAAGCGTAACGCTTCGTGCGAATCTTTGGAATATCCACAACATAGAGATGGAAGCCAAGCCTACGCCTAGACGCGTATGCGGTATGTGGGATGATGGAAAGGGGAAGGCGGAACTGAATCGTGTAATTCCATCGCGCACTCTCCGTGATATATCCTGTAAAATACCGCTAAGCAGGCAACTTTACGGCGGTGTTCATGGCTCTGCGGCTTCGCCTCTACTAATTCCGAGTCACCTATAAGCCTCTTGACACGCTTGTCAATTGAATCCAACGTGGCCAGTTGGTATGTAGCAGAGCCATCCCAAAGGTGGCAACAGTACTCCGACAACATACACGTTCGGACTTGTGCTTAATACAGCTGAAGCAACTGTGCCGATGTGAAGTAACGCCTCACCCTGGAACGGATGCCAAGCTACCTGGCTGCATTTGTGGCCATGGATTCAATGTATCTGCCGAAGTTCAGATTGGGCGACAGGTTTAAGTAGCTAGAGATGGTCGGCTATGGGTATGGGTATATCACGAAAAGTCTGAGTCAGCTCAAAGGGACTACGTTTAGTGGAGAATAGACACGCGTTTTGGTAGCGTTAAATTTTACGAGATTGGCATCGCCCCAAACGGAGACTGCCTTGAGCGTCAAACCTAAACAGCTAACCATGGACTCTCGACAAGACTGGATTTCCTCTCCACTGATCCTTGCATTGGTCAAGTACCTATCTACAACTGTGCTGTCATCAGCATACGCGAAGGTACCTGGAATTAACATATCATTGATATGCAGCAGAAAGAGAGTTGCAGACAGTACGGACCCCTGAGGAACTCGGCATCTATCGCCATATGTTCGGTTGAGTAGCCACTCAAGAAATCTGAGATCCAATTGCAAAGGTATTTGCAAAGGTTGAAGCTTGCTTAAAAGGCTTGCGTGCCAGACCCTGTCGAATGCTTTAGAAATGTCCAGACACAGCAAGTGCTTCGCCTTGCTTTTCTATAGCCTCACTCCATATGTGACAGGCATACACAAGAAGATCCCTGGTAGATCGCCCTCGTCGGAATCCATACTGGCGATGACTGAGGGCAACATGTTAGTTATGTAGAATTTAATATTTGGATACATTGTACAAAATCTTTTGTATATTATAATAATAATAGACATTTATTTCAGGCATAAAAAACCCACATGCAACAAAATCATTAAATATGTATAAATAATAAATTACGATACATACTTAACAGATAAAACTTTTACAAAATTATGCCATTGGATCAAAAAAAAAGCAAAAATATAAAATAAAATAAACTAGCCATCATCTAATGTTGACAGTGCTGTGCACGTTAATCCTGTGCCGAAAAATAGAACTGGTTACACATAGCATTGTGACATACGTACCACCTAAGATAATGTAATTACTTACAGAAATCAGCCATATCAACTTTTGATATTATGAAACTGACCCTGATGAGTGGGTACTAAAATTAATTTTGTATTTTCAGGGCACAAGGACAATCATAGATAATTTAGATACTGGTTCTTCAGTAACACCAATCCTGACTGGGTATGAGGGTTTCCTTGATTGTTACAACACCACAATAGCAAAGGAAGGTGTAGCAGGTCTCTACAAAGGCTTTGGAGCACTGGTGCTGCAGCTTGCAGCTCATTTAGCCATTATCAAACTGACTACATTTGTAGTGACTGAAGTGTCCAATCTACTCAAACCAGCCAAATCTCCCACAAATTCTGATGAGTCGGCACATTCACAACCAAAATACCTATTCAACTAATCTGTACTACATATGTCAGACCTATGTGTGATTTTAAGATATGTAAGTAATCTAAAACTCCTGGCAATTATTAAGAATTTTTGATAGTTGTTTGAATAAAGTGTTGAAATTTATTTATAAAATGATTTTATTAGCTTTTAAGTGTTACAAACCTAACCAAGCTCACGCTGATTATGGTGGGTTTCAAAATGCATAGGGATCTTTAGCAGAGCAGTATATTAGCAAGTATTTTGTTATTTTTCATAAGATGGCTAACATTGTGTTAAAAGTTAGTTGAAGTAGCTTGAACATTTTGTAAGCTGTTTTACAGCCAAGATGGAAACTCAAATAAATCCAGTAAATAAAGTTATTCAGTATATAAAAAAATATTTTTATTTGAAGAAAACTACTATTTCCATTTATCAATAAAATTGATTATTTAACCATGTTCTAGTGTGACAGCACGTGTCTTCCTTTGAGGATTCTACGCATTATGATCTTCCGACCGTTGGGTGTCGACATTCTGTACTCCCAGCCATGGCGGCGCACTCTCTTTACTTCACTTGGTCGCGGGAAATAACAACGTACTTTCGTTCTAATAGCTGACATCAAAAAGCTTTCTGGTTTTACTAAATTATTCATTGATACCGTTGATGCAACAGTAGGCAAACTTTGCCCTAAACGCCTGCAAAATAAGCATGCAATTTATAAATTAAAATTGGTTGTAGGTTATGAACTGTCAGAAATTTTGTAACACGTAGAAATTTACTTTAACGGCTGCAATACGACGGATATTAAAGCTGACATGTTTCGACAGATTAAAAGTATATGTTTTCAATCAAATCTCTCCGTAACCCGAATAATTATTTGAAGTTCAGATTCCTTTTTTTCCATCCTTTTCACAAATTAGAAACTTTAGAAAGTCAGATTTTGACATGTAATGTTCTTTTTTTTTGTGTTATTGCTTTGCGTAAGGCAATTCTTAAATCATTCGGATACTGTTGGGAAATTTTTCCGAAAAAAATTAAGTGGAGATTTATATTTACCTTTATATTTTTCGGGAATTGAATGCCGAAAAATATAATTTCAAAGGCTCATATTATGTTCTACGTTTAGAAATATCTTTTGAAGTTATGATTAGCTTGAATTATAAAATAAACTTGTAAAGCTAAAAGCTATAATTTATAAAAAAACGAGATATTTTAAAACTGCGATAAAAACCTTTTTTTAATGGCTCCATCGATTTGTTCAGTCACTTCAACTTTTGAAAGAAAAATATCCGGAAAAAAAATATTTTTTTAGGAAAATATAATTTTTCAAAATGGAAAATTTTCCACACATCACTATAGCCGAAGCCGGTCTTTCGTTTTAGTCTATGACTCTTAAGTCCGGTGACAAACATTAATGATGAAATAATGGCAACATTTATTTGAGTGCAACGAAATTGTCGATGAAAAGTGGATGGAAATAATATGGCGGACAAAAATAACAAGGGCGCTAAAAAATTTTTTATTGTATCCATAATCCCTTGGAAATAAGTGATTTATTAGGTTTTCTTATAGCAAATCGTAGTTCATGTAGTACATTCTATGTTTTAAATATCGTATAAATGTAAGTAGCCTTTATGGAATATTTGTAAACATCAAGTAGGTTTCGTATTGCTATTCCTACAGAAAGTTTTATTTTTCTCGTTAGTAAAATTTTTTTACTACTTTCTAAGCATGTTAATTATATTGTTTATTGTGTTATTTCACAGCTAGAATGTCGGCGATAAAAGTGAATTTTGAGATTGGTCACATAGCTTCTCTTAGATCCAAGAAGACCCCAGAAGGTTTTACTCATGACTGGGAAGTATTTGTGCGCGGCCAAGAAGGTGTTGATATCAGTCACTTCGTTGATAAAGTGGTTTTTCACTTACATGAATCTTTCCCCAAACCCAAACGAGGTGAGTACATAAATTTACTTATTGTCTTGCTAAAATTTCGATGTCCTACCTAAATTTACATTTCTCAAGTACTTACATATTCTAAAGAAACTATGTAGCAAGTTCCCTTTAAATTTTTTTTCAAATTTAATTCAATTTGCATTGAATAATTCGTAAATAAATAGTTTAAATTTATAATAGTATTATACTACATATTAAATTTTTGTGTTTTGAAAAATATTATCATCCACTATTAAATATTCTGCTCTATAATTTCCTTTTCTCATTTTCAGTTGTGAAAGAACCACCCTTTTCTATAAAGGAATCTGGCTATGCAGGATTTGTATTTCCCATTGAAATATACCTAAAGAATAAGGATGATCCCAAGAAAATTAAATTCCAGTATGACTTCACATTACAAGAGAGTGGATTTCTTAAAGATAGATACATTTTCCAATCTCCAAATGATGATTTCAGAAAAAAACTTTTAAAAGGTGGTGGTATACAAATAAATAACAATGCATACTACACAAACCCCGATCAAGAGAACAGAAGTAGGGACTCCTTTACCGATGATAAACAACATGTTAGCAAACCCAAGCTTTCTTCAGATAATGTTAATAAAAAACATAAATCTAAGGAACACAAGGAGGAAACTCCACATAGAACCAGCAGTTTTGAAAGCTTATTTGGTGCACCTATTCAGAAACCTCCTAAAGTTTCACCTGACCCAAAAAAAATGGAGAAAAGTGTTGTAGTACCCCTTAAATCTGACAAGAAAGATAAAGAAAGATCTAGTTCAGATAAAAAATCAAAACATGAACATAAAGAGACTAAACAAGACAAAGTTAAATTAAAGGAAGAAAAAGATAAAGTTCGTGATAAAGTAAAGAGTACTAGTAAAGATCAAGAGAAAATTAAAGATAAAGTAAGCAAAAGACCAACTGAAAGGCCACCCTCACCTGATGCAGTTAAAAAGCGTTGTAGCAGTCCAAGCCGAAGACCATCAAGTCCAGTGCCACGAAGTAACAGTGCATCAAGCATCAAAGAAGAGTTTAAACCTAAGCATAATTCTGAAAATTTTGAGCAAAGAAAGTCGAAATTTGAAGAGAAAATACCAGAAATAAAAATTGAAAAGGAAGTAAAAGAAAAGAAGAAAAAGGAGAAAAAGAGTCATGACAGAGATAAGGAAAGAAAAGAAAAAAAAGAACATAAAAAGGACGGTCATAAATCTAAGGACTCACCCAAAGAGCTGCCTAAAGAAAGCCCTAAGGAAACACCTAAGCCTAGGGAAACTCCAAAAGAAAAGGAAACTATAAAAGAATCACCACCTGTAAAAGAGAAACCTGCAAAATCGGAAAAAAATAATAAATTTTCTATTGAGAATCTTCGGAAATCTCCACCACCAGAACTTGAACCTGAAAGAACTGACAGTCACAAAACAAAAGATAAAGCAGATTTAGAGAGAAGACACAAACATAAAAAAAAAGATAAAAAACGTGAAGAATCTAGAGAAAAAAATAAAGATTTAAACAAAGAAAAGAAACATAAACGTGACAAAGTTCGGGAAGATAAAATAGAAATTGAGCAGAGACCAATGCCTGTACCTAAGGAACGGGTGTTGCCTGAACCAGCATCTCCTATATCCATTGATACAGCCTCACAATGTAGCTCAAAGAGTGGTCTTAAATCATCTCACATTGGAACTGAAGACATAAACAGCAGTCACTCAGACTCTGAGAGCTCACTGATTGTAGAAGAGGAGGAGGAGGTTAAGGTTAAGATGGAAAATCCTTCCCCCGAACCAAAGCGAGAACCATCACCTGAACCAGAACTGGGACCAGAAGTTGAACCAGAACCTGAACCGGAGCCTGAGCCTGCTGCAGAGCTACCGCCCGCTCAGGCCAAAGAAAAATCTAAGAAACACAAAGACAAATCTTCAAAGAGAGAGGAGAAACGACGTAAAAGAAAAGCTGCAGAAGAGGAAGACGTGGTAAATCGCAAAATAGCGAAAATTGCCGAGTCTGGCCCCTCGAATCACGATAGCGAACGCGGCGAAACCAGCGGGTCAATATCTTCAGAAACTAAGGTCCAGGACAATGGTGTGTCCAGTAGCCTTGGAGAGGATGCTGAGCCTGGAGATATTTCGCCTGACTACATGTTGCAATTGCGCAACCTACAGCAGCGCATACTTATGATAAAGAATAACGAAGATCTCGAAAGGGTTGTTAACTTGATAGCAGAAACAGGCAGATATGAGGTGACAACGCAAACCTTCGATTTTGATCTTTGCTCACTCGACCGTTCTACAGTACAGCAGCTTATTCAATTGGTAGGGTGCTAAAGGCACCGTTTTGTGTAAATAGAGTGGTAATGAAACAGCTATGGGAGGAGATATAACAATTAAAGTTACTGTTATAGAGTATAATAAGGTACAAAGTATAGGGCGAACTAAGCCAGCTGATTTGTATTTTGAAGTATGTTTATCATACACAAAGAGAAACTTATAATGATACCTACTCTCGCCACTTGAGTTTTAAGTGCAATATATAAAGTTATAAGACTGTTAAAAGATTGTTAACTAATGTATATTTTGTACATTGTTATATAAATCTATTAAAATTAAGTTGATTGCATTCTGAGTTTTTAACTCTTGTAACCTGATGTGGATTGTAAAGTTTAAGGATAGCATTTTATTATTACAAATATTGTTATATCAAATGTACATTTTAATGTATTTGGTTTTATACCATAATATTATGGAAATGTTGAGATATTGTATAAGTGCACTTTTAACTTCACTTTTAGTTATAAATAAAGCATTGTATGTTATTAGTTTAAGGTACTGTAATTTACGGAACATCACTATTTAGGTAAGTTTTACTTTATCACAAGTTTGTGATGTCTAAAAATTGAAAGTTTCTTTCAAAAATTCATGAATTTAAGCTCATTTCCACTCTTTTGATCTAAATCTGTATAAAAGCGTTTCTTAAATTAACTTATTTTTATTTATCAGCTATAATAGGAAATAAATAGAGAGTGTATACTATAGTTTTCATTTTATTCCTTTTGTTTTTAAGGAAAAAGGCACAATATAAATAACAGACATTTTATTAGAACATTTATTTTATTCCAATGAGATATGAAACATGAAACCAAACTAACGCCATCGAATAAAATAATGTAGGTATATGAAGTAAACATAACAGCTTTAAAACATACACATAAAATGAAATGTGATTGATGCTATGAAATTTCCAATTAATGAAGACATCGTTAACTAAAGTATTTCATGTTAAATAAAATATGGTTTACTACCGATTATTTAGTAAAAACGTATACGATATACGAATAGGGTGACAATATCGTGCGAAAAACCAACGTAAATGGTAGATATTTCCCTTTACCTGGCATTTTATGCTTATTTTACGCTCCAGATATTTTGCGAGCATTTGTCAAATATTCCCCAAGATGTTGCAAATCCATCGTCGAGAGGGAAGACCGTCTGAGTATTCCCTTTGTTGAAGCCAAGACCCGATAGCGATGAGCCCGCGTTCATCTTTTCTTGCCACTTTTGTGGGCCGTTTGACGCCACTTTGAATAAAAATCGCCAATGTATTCAACGGATATACCCGCTGCTTGCGCTGCACCAGTTAGACTGAATTCTTTATACTGCTCGTCATCTTTGCCAGGTTCATTTCCAACTAGCAATATAAGCAAAGGAGTCGATTTTCCTTGTAATGAACTGTCAGGATCACCGTTGCCACCTTGGGCATGTTTCTCGTCGGCGATAAAGTGGTTGCAAAATTCGAGAATTTGTACAAAGTTGTGAACATGAGGTGGAGCCTTCCGTGGATATTTTAGAAGTGGTAGAGGCTTTGACTGTCCTGGACGCTGAGCGCGAAGAAAACGTGAACCACTCTTCAGCTGCATTTCGAGCCAGCGGATAGCATCTCGTGCCGTGCTATGGTCGCGTTTTAACTCGTCTAGTTCCTGGAGGACTGAAAAAAAAGAGAAAATTTAATAAAATAAAAGATAAAGTGTTTATAAAGCACACCTCAATAAATTCCTCATTGTGACTGGAAGCCTGTGCCCAGCAGTGAAACTGTATAATAGGCTAACTAATGTTACATAAAGTATAGTAAAGTTGATCATTGGTAAAGATCAGTACACTTACCAACAGTAGGCACAAGAAGTATAAAATTTCGTGTGCGTAGTAGTTGCTTGACGCGGCGCAGATGGTCGTGCAAGACGGGTGCGTCGAGCGCGAGCAGCACTGGCGCGGGCGCCACTTGCCCGCCGGCGCAGCGCTCCAATTCGCGCACGCGCGACGCCAGCCATAGGCGGCCGAGCCGTGCCAACAGCCCGCCTTCTCCGCCGCCGCCTACACCGCTTCCGCTTTCCTCCTAAAGTATTATCGTATTAAAAATTTTATCTGATAAAAAGTGTCAAAATTGTTTTCCAAACTGATTAAAGAAACTAATTCTTACATTTGGCTTTTTGGTGTTATGCCACTCCCTGCTTCGCTTGTGACTTATTTTAGTATTTAGTTTGGGGCGCGGAATCTTTTTAAGATAGTATATCTTCATTGTTCTGTTGTAGCGTATCCTTGGTACAATCTTGGCTATTTGATTTCCAAAGTCGATAAAGTTCAAAATTCGCATGATATTCTCATCATAGGCAGAAGGTTTGTATCTATCCAGAATTTGCCATTCGGCGGCGTCCTTGTCGAATTTGCAGATGTTCGTGCCGCGTAAGTTGATATCTTCAGGCAAAGGGATACTTTTATACTCCAGTTTTAAATTTTTTGCAACCTTCTTAGCATAAGTTAAGGTTTTACAATTATCACGTATGAGGTTTTCAGTGCTTTTGGGATTGAAGTTGTGTGTAAAAATGTTGAGTAAATCAACCACACATTGGAAAAGTGACTCCCCACTGTCTCCACAAGATAATATGAGATCCTTCTCTGTGAGAATCCAGTCTTGAAGCAGTTTTATACTGGGCAAAAAATTATCACCCATTAGAAAATGCTGAATTCCTATTTCATTAATTTTATTGCTTTTTGATGGTTTTGAGTAGTCTGAATCGTTTGTTTTGTTTCCATTGCTTTCAGTTGGTATTTCATAATCAAGTTGTTTTTGTGTTTCTTCCAAAGTTTCTCCATTAGCTTTATCGTCTTTTAGTTCTGTGTCAGAGTCACTTATAGAAGCTTCACTTTTAGAATCATCTTCAGAATGATATGAAGACTCTGACAGGTTTTCTTTGCCTGCACAAGACTCATCGGTTTCAACTTCACTGCTCTCTGTATTAGCATCGCTTAAGTCGGAACTCTCCGATGATACCACACGCCGTCGTCGGCGACGTTTAGGAAGTGCCTTTTTAATGGTATTTTTTGCATCACCATTTTGTAATTTTTTTAAATCTTCATCAGAGAACTCTTTTGCAACCTCTTCGTTATTAGTATCCAATGCTCCATTTGTTACAACTTCATGATTGTTTAAGCCATTCTCCAACTCAGTACTTTCTTCCATTTTCTCTGGCTCAGGATTTGGTGGAGGTACTCTAGGTTTGTATTCACAAGCAGGATTTCTAAATCCTAAAGCCTCCAATTGTTTTAAAAGCTTTTTGAGTAGTTGAGACAATAGAGCCAGAGTAAATGCTTTACAAGCGAATGCTCTCTGTTCATCTATTTCAATTATTTTTGCCATAGTGAACAGACAAATCTGCACTGTCTTGTGCACTAGATTGCCATTTAAATAAGAGGGATTCACATTTTCTTCCTCAATAGCTTGCAAGTACTCATTGTAATTTTTGTTAATATCAGGCAAGGGAGTCATAGTGAAGTCCATAGCTATTTTAAGTTGTTGAGCAATGGTATTGCACCTTTGTGGGATATTTGTATCATTTTTGTTGAGATACCATATTTCAATCAATGAAAGAAAATTGCCAACAGTGTTTTGTAAATGTTCAGATTGTGTCAATGTGTCAGATTCATTCATAGCTTCAGAGAATTGGGTATTCTTTTCAAATATTTTTGATAGGTTGCCCATAGCTCCTTCAAATGGTGACACACAACTAAGGCAGTGAATGTAATAGCAGACTGAGTCTAAATTATAATTTTTATCTAAGTACAAATTTCCCAGTTGGTTGTATGGCATGCCAGAAGACATATCAAGATGTGCAGCTTGAAGATAGTACCTAGCTGCAATGGATGGATCAAAAGTATGAAATATTTCAGCTTGGTAGCGACTAAGATCACCCAAATATATCAAACAGGTGTGTAAAGCTGAACGGCCAAACTGCAATTCTTCATCAGATGGAACAGCATTGTCATCAGTCTCCTCATCAGTAAACAGAGGTATATAATCCAGCTCTTTGAATAGGATCTTCATTTCTGACTGAATCTTTGTAATAAAGTGATGGAAGTGCCCTATACCGCCCACTATATGAATAAACAGGCAATTGTCATTAGCATGGTCAGATTCCCGGAGTTTTTTAGCGACACTTACAGTGTCATAGTAAACCTTCCTCCACAGCAATTCAAGTGATTTTTTCCCGTGATTAATTGGATCTAGAAAAAGTAACTTCTCACAGTTATCCCTAAGTTTTTGGCGTTGGATCTCAAGTTTTGTAGAGAAGAGGTCATTGATTGAATGGCTTGTTGCAGTAGCCTCACCGACGCGCCTCGCTACGTCACTTACGTATCTGCAAAAACAACAAGTTGTGATATATTGCGTAGTCTCGTACAAGTCAGTTACTTTTTCCATACATGTTCATTAGTTGAAATCTGTCGCCTTTGACCTTAACAAATATAGAATACTAAAGTAACTTACTAAAATATGACCTAAATTATAATTGTTTCGGTAATAAATATAAATGACTAATCTAAGTTACCGATAAAGTTTCTTAGCGCGTTCACCCTGCTCGGCAGTTTTAGCCTCCAAATTTTCATCACGCCCGTTCTTCATTTTTCAAGTCATTTTATCCACTTGTCAAGATGTAGATTTAAAAAATTTTTCAAACGTCTTCTTGGTATTTGTGTTACATTTCCAACCGTTCATTTCCATAGCACCATTATACACATTTGATAAAATTCAAGATTTTTCTGCGTGACCGTATGACAGATGAACGACGACATAACAATCATAAACAAAAGACTTGTTGTTATCATATGGACATTTTTTTTCACTACCGTACGGCGTCAGTCAGGTTACTTACGTGACGGGCTGACCACGTAGTTCACTAAGTAGTCTGTGGACTGACCCACAGACATATGTTATGTCTATGGACTGACCGAAAGCAGCAGTAGCAAGACTCGCAAGATTAGTGATTGTTTTCAAAGGCCAAGGGTTGGGTCATGGAAAAATTTCCATTTAAAAAAATTAATTTCTGAATATTTTTTTACTTTGACTGTTGACACCTGTCAAAAGTTGATGGATATTGGATAGTGAACAAAAATTAAAAAAAGTGACATTGGCGACGATTGCCATAATTTTTATCATTTTGTTTTTATTTAGTCATTTAATTTAGGCTACATGACCCTTATAATAAATACGTTAGGGACTAACATACCCACAATATAATTAATAACTAACTACTCTTCACTTGTACTTGTATGCAAATGTGTGGCGCAATCTAGTGTCAGGTAACTGGTGGCGGACTCGCCTTTATATTCCCTTCGGCTAAAACTCCTCCTTCATGAAGGTCGACAGATGTTTGATCGGTACTCTCACCGCAAACGAATTAAAATTCACGTTGTGGCGGGTTGCCAATCACTCGATCCTCCGCAATCATATGTGCTGACTCGACTCTACCGATGGATGCATTTGCACCCCACAACGCGTGTTTACCTACATACCAAAGCACTTGATAAGACAACTTATGGTGTTATCTGAAGCCTCTAATCTACACTGCAACTTGGCCAGGCTTGACTTCAGGAAAGTAATATCCTTCAGCAGACATTGACATCGACGTGCTCGAACGTGATTGAGGGCAGCTTGTGCAACTCCTTCGCCACAAAAGTAACCCGTCATCCAGGTCAGTTTTCTTCAGGAGTGTGATAATATCCTTGAAACTCTTCACGCCTACATCCCTCCGGCAAGATGGCATCTGTTTTGTCGAGCCTCTGGAACAACAGCATCTTGCCACTGGAGCTAAAGTCGCAGCTCCTGATTGGTCAACTCAAGGTCAGTGATATCGCGCAATGCGTTAAATTGCGGCAATTATATTGCCAGAATTTGTGCATTGTGAATCCACCTAAACTCTAAATTGTTTTTAGCTATACAATTTTATAATTCATGCTCAATAAAACTTTAAGAGATATATCAAAACGTAGAAGATAATATGAGCCTCCGAATTATATTTTCCAATTTTTCAGAATTTTTGCTTGAAAAATTTTTCGGAAAATGATCCAACAGTTAATGTTGGATCATTTATTTAGTTATTGGAGGTTTTTCGTTGTTGTGAAATCATTTTAAATCTCGTTTTTCTACGATGTGGCCTTTAGCTAGACAAGTTTATTTTATAATATAATTCACGCTAAATAAAACTTCAAAAGATATTTCTAAACGTAACACGTAACATAAGACGTCGAAATTCTATTTTTCCAATTTTTAAAATTTTCGGAACTTTTTCCACTATTTGAAATTTTTCGGAAAAGTACTCAACAGTACAACAGTATTTGTTCCTCTGTGGAACCATAGACAAAAATAATGACAAACAAGAATTGACATTGATATAGTCGTCTGAAATCAGAATTTTCAATAATTTACGAAATTTGGGGCATTTTCTAAGAATTTTCATTTTCTATGATAAAATCCTACAACATTGCGTTATTAATTAACTAAATTGATAAAGCTTTGAATACGTAAGTAAGATTTTTAAATACATTGTGGTTATTTTCTCATTTGTAATTTATGGCTTGTGGTAAACAAAAAGAACGTTGATTCATCTTGCAGTTAACAATGGAGGCTCCGCCGTGCGTATTCCTAGGTATCAAGGTGAAACCAGGACCTATAGAACGGCACAAGCTGGACAATTTTCCATTAGACCGAACAGTAGACAGTTTGAAGTGCGAAGTTGAGAAGAAAACCAATCTCCCCTCTTCATCGCTAGGTAAATATCCTGCATAAATGGTGTTTAAGGATAGCTAAATTGATTTTGGTTTGATGTTAGAATAGCTGAGGTCGAAGTAGGATGAGGGAAGGGCACATGGCTATGAAGTTTCAAAGTTAGGATATAGAATTTATCGTTCCCCTAACGAACAATAAAACGGCCTCGTGAACTTCATAAACTCTAATATTTTATAATAATGATATGTACAAAATAATTCTGACAATTTTCAATTATATTGTTGGAAAACCTTTTTGCTGACATTATTTCTACGCATGTTTGTGATTGCAGGGGATAAGACTGATGGCAATTCATATTCAGGGTTTCTGAGTAGGTTCAGCTTTTGCATTGTAAATAAGTACAGTCACAAACAACAAGACATGCCTTGTTCTACCACTAAAGCTGAATACTATGCTCTTGTGAGTTCTGTAAAAGTGGCAAAATTTTTTAAAATTTTGACTGACAATGGAGGCGTTCCACCATTCCATTGGCGCAAGGATGGCAACTGGTGGTACGGGCCCTTTTCCAACCACCATGTGTGATGGTCTATGGCGATCATGCAATAATTGAAACCATTACAACATGGAAGTGGGCCGATGATGCCGATATGCAGATAGCGGAATCGACTGGTAGGTTTATCAAACCTCCCTACAGGTGATTTAACATACCGTGATACCTTACTTCTTTGGCACTGAACGCAGCAATGTGCCCACTCGCGACTATCGTTGTTGATGCTAGGCCATACGTAGCGACTTGCTGCCAAGCGCAAAGATGCCCGTGCACTAAGGTGGCCGAGGTTATGGCAACGGTCGAAAGCAGGTCGTCGGAACGGCGAAGTGAGGTATGGTCGAGGTCACCCTCGACTCGGTTGAGGTATCATATATTAGAGTGATGTTGGTGCCCGGGTTCAAAACCGGTTCCAATTTTAAAGCTGATACTTCTTGCACTTTTGCCAACTCAATCTCATATTTGGACGTAGTTAAACAAAAAGGAGCCAACGCACATCCAGTCACTTTCGAGATATGGCAGTTTGAAGTTTAAAAGTGTTTCTCACTCTCGTTTTATTTTCATAACTTATAATGTCACGTAACTCCAGAGATATTTATTTATGTTTATATATTCGATATTTTTGCTGATTGAAGAGGTCAGACTTTCAGAACCGTTTATTACATATAACTCATTTTTTGATAATTTTGTGGATTGGATCCTTTTTGCTTTACTACGTCCATTTGAGACTGAGCTACTGCGGCGTATCTCGCCTCGATGCGGGGTAAAGTATCCGCGACGACGTTATCTTCACCCTTAACATATTGAATGACAGTTGAAAATTGGCTAATAAAAGATAGCTGGTTCAACTGCGGTGATGGTAATTCTTCGCGACGTTGTACGAAAGCGTACAGCAGTGGCTTATGGTCCGTATATATAGTCACGTGTTGCGCTTGGAGAATGTAGCGAAAATGTTGTACACTTTCGTACACCGCCAGCAATTCCCGACAATAAGCAGGCCACTGAGCTTGTCGAGGAGTCAATTTTCTGCTGAAGAACGCGAGGGGCTTCCAGGCATCGTCTACCTGTTACTGAAGGCAGGCACCAACATGGACACGGGATGCATCGGTAAATAACCCAAGGGGTGCATCCATGGTCGGGTGTTGCAATAATGTGGCACTAGATAGGCTGGCTTTACAGGCTTCGAAATGCTCCAGATGCTCCGACGTCCATGAGAATGGTTAAGCGCCTTTGCCATTGGTAGAGACGACAGCATTAATTAAGGGAGCCTGAAATTTAGCTGCCTGAGGAATGAAACATTTATAAAAATTTAACATGCCTAGAAAACGGCGCATACTGTACTGTTTTGGGAGGAGGAAAATCTACTAGCGTTTGGATTCGTTCTTGCGGACAGCGAGTGCCATCGGGAGTTATAACGTAAACCCAAAAATCGGGCCTATCTTACTCCAAAATTGCACTTGGAAGTATTCAAAACAACACCATAATCCTGAAGACGCTGGAAAAGAGTCCCCGTGTGACCTTATCGATGAACCTTTGAAAGGTTTGACCCGCATACATCAAACCGAAGGTCATGAATGGGAATTCGAAGAGGCCAAAGGGAGTGGTAATAGCCGTTTTGGGATGTCCTCTTCTGCCACCGGAATTTGATGATAAGCCTTTACCAGGTCAAGGGTGCTGAAAACGGTGGCTCCGCTGAGGCTGTTGGCAACGTCATGAACATGCTTCACCGGGTAACGATCCGTAATGGTGTTCTGACTGCGATAATCGACGCAAGGTCGCTATCCTTTTTCAACGTCCAATGAAGCGGAGACGGCCGCAGCCTATCTGAAGGTCTCTTGCAGTACCGGAGCGCACCATCTCTTCAATTCCTTTTTTAGCGTCTGCCAGTTTTTGAGGGGTAAAACGAGGCCGGCAAGAAACTGGTGGGCCATCTGTGGTTTTGATGTAATGCAGAGTGTTTTGCTTGACGACTCTCGGAAGACCTGGCGGTTTGGTAATTTCCGGGAAGTCTAAAAGCAGGCGTACAAATTCATTGTCAGAAACCACAGCCTTAACACTGAGTTGAGTTGTATTACAGATGGAGGCAGGAACAGAAAGTCCGGTAGAACCTTCTCGTAACAGTTTGTTGCGGCAGTCCGGGAGTAGATTAAAATAGGCCAGAAAATCGGAGTCAATGATAACTGTCCGACATCTGCAATAGTGAAATTCGCGACGGTGACCGAGATTTAATGAAAATGTACGACTGCCATAAGTTTTTATACTGGTGCTATTGGCGGCACTAAGAATATAATTGGAAACTTTGCATTGAGTTGACAGAAGTTTCCGAGGGAAATAGGAAAGTTCAGTCGGTGTCAAGCAAGAATTTAAATTTGGTTACTTTGTCAGTGACAAACAGGCGCCGACTAGTGAATTGGCTGTAGCCAGCTGTCGCCATTACCGTTGACTGCTCCCTTGGTTTTCCGGAATCGAATCTAACCAGGAGCACGGCCGGACACAAATTGACCGCCTTGCCCTGGTCCCGACGGTGGTACCAGCACAAGCCGTGATGCGTCGCGGACCTTAGTCTAAGGCAAGATCGGTGAGACCTGGATCTTGATCGCAAATGGCGTGTAGACAAAGCCGCCACCTGCTCGCTGAGCGCCTGCAATTGAGCAATGATGGGAACCGACTCATTGTTAAAAGGTGCGGGGCGATCACGCAGTTGAGTCACGCAGAGCAATTCGGAGGGTTGGTTTTCTTACTCTTTTTTGCATGTGACTCCCCATTTTAAATATAGACGTCTCGACAAAGGCTTTTTCCTTTGCTTCCATAACTACTTACATAAATCATATAACAATTTATGAATACAATGTTGAGTATTCTATAAAAATTGTACAAAGGCCAGAATCGAGTTTTTCGACTGCAAGAACTTTGTTACATCCTCGATGACAGGTAGCAAGTGAAGCGTCGTTCAGGTCTGTATTGAAATGCTTGGTATCCAGTCTTCTATTGATGATAATGAAGAAAAAGATTATGTTACTTGTCGAAACATCTTGGAAACGATTGTTGGTTCAAAGAAGAAACTTCTTCAATATCCGTTTCATATGCTGGAACAGCTTCAACATGGTCTTCTCACTTCCAGAGGACTTTTCCTTTTCACTATAATCTTGTATTAATAAGTGACGTAACGTATCTATAATAACAACAAATAAATACCACTGTATGTAAAAAACATGTGAAACAAAATAGTATAAAGTGTTCCGTTACTACTAACCATCGTTGTTGCGACGAGCCATCGTTACTAGTACGGTGCACATAGACTTCCTACGCACTACCATCAGTTGCATGGGCAACGAATTGTCTGAGATTACCCGGGAGTTGAAAAGAATATGGCCACGCGTGCAAAATTTCCCACGCTTTTTACGAACCCGTGTCGTCGGTTCGGCGAAGGCTCGTTAAGGAATTAGTAATATCTAAAGTTAGCACGCTCGTCTATATTTAAGCATATGAGGGGAGGTCCAAAAGTCCGCGGAATGGAGGGGGCGGGAGCCCGCTAATTACGCTTGCTTGATGTGGTACTAATCAGATACTCATTAGGGGTATATATATCAAGCTTCACCCTTTTAACTTTATTAGTTTACGAGATATTGCCCTACAAACAAGTAAATCCGGAAGAAAACTGCAAATATGTAGCAAATCGGGTTTCGTGCTGTCATCAAATTCCTTACCAAGCAAGGAAAACCTCCTCAAACCATTATAAATGAGATGGAAACTGTTTATGGGGATCAATGCCCTGGTAAAACAATGATTTACAAGTGGCACGGTCTTTTCAAACATGGCAGAGAATCAATTGAAGACGATCCTCGCCCAGGACGGCCAATTGAGGCCACCACATCAGACAATGTTGGAAAAATCGAAAAATTTATATTGGAAGATGCCCGTCTGAAGAAGAAACAGCTGTCTGCATTAGTCCTCCTACACGATCATCTTGGCATGACAAAAGTCAGTGCAAGATGGGTGCTGAGAACGCTCACGCCGCCTCAAAAGCAACAAAGAATCGATGCATCAAAGCACTTCTTGGAGCTGTGTGGCGCAAAACCTACCCCAATTTTGGAGCAAATTGTTACTGGAGATGAAACTTGGGTTCATCACTTTAAGCTCGAGTCCAAACAGGAGTCAATGCAATGGCATAAAAAGGGTACACCACCCCCTAAGAAGTTTAAGGTGTCGGAATCGGCTGGAAAAATCATGGCTACGGTTTTTTGGGATTGTGAAGGAATTTTATTGGTTGACTACAAAGAAAAGGGGTCAATATAACGGGAGAATATTACGCAAGAACATTAGAGAGACTGAAGGAAGCTGTCAAAGAAAATAGGCGGGGAAAATGGACAAAGGGTGTGTTGCTTTTGCAAGACAACGCACCGGTTCACAAGAGCAATGTTGCGATGGCTGTTCTACACAAGTGTGGCTTTCAATCGCTGACCCACCCACCTTACAGCCCGGACCCAGCCGCCAGCGATTATTATTTGTTCCCAAATTTGAAAAAAGAATTACGTTGGGAAAAAATTTCGCGACGATGAAGAGGTTAAGGCAGTAATTTTAGCTCATTTTGAGAACAAAGAGAAAAAATATTTTTTCGATGGCATAGAAAAGCTAATTTCGAGATCTAAAAAATGTATTGAGCTCAAAGGTAATTATATTGAAAAGGAAAAATAGCCTTATTGTTTTATATTATTTACAACCCCTCCATTCCGCGAACTTTTGGACCTCCCCTCGTATGTTATTTTTAAATAACATTAAAAAATTATTGCATTGTACTAATAGTAACTGTGCTACAAAAGAAATAAAAAAATCTAAATTTTACTTTGGCATAGTGAAGCACAACACAAAAAAGCTCCATGGTTGTACTTATAAGAGACAAGTTTCCTGTAGCTATTGGTAAAAATGGAAGTAAATTAATTTGCTACTCCGCAAACCCAATTATTTGATGCTAATATTTAACTTCCTTCTAATTTTTAACTTCCATCATACATCAAAATTACATAATATATGTGAAGTGATTCGACAATATTATTCCTATGATCACGTACACGCCCAGTGTACTTTATAATGAGAATTTCACATTCAAATTTAGCGCAATACGTATACGTGTGTATATTGTACGTGACCACGGGTATCTACACAAATACGTTTTTCATACCGAAGGCATACTTGCTTGGGCCTGAAGCATTTAATTACATTCAGTACAATTTAACGTACAGTCAACAGCACATCCAGCTATACACTTTAGTTCGAATATCGCCTCCAGTGCAATGGAAGAAGATCAGCCAATGCATAGCTTGACATGCTACTTACTGGCCGTACATTGTTAAGCACTTTTTCCATTGTAGTTTGCTGGGACTTAAGAGATTATAAGATAAAATTACAGAAACAGGAGATTCCTCTTTGTACACTGGGATACTTCATAATACTCATTTTTAAAGTGGTTGATTCAAATATGGATTATCAGTAGGGCTAGCACGACGGTGCGACTTGCGTGAGCTCTCACGCATTCTTTGTAAAGTTTAAGTTCATTAATTTATTATTTCTTTGGGTTCAGAACCAGGAATATAACGCACTCTATAAGTATGTCCCACTTTCAAATATACAGCCTGTATATATATTTGAAAACAATGCAATGTTTTGAGAATGGTTACATAATTATGATAAAATCACAATCCTAATAGTGTAAATTTTAATGCAATTATAAATAGAAGAAAACACTAGTGCTGCTATGAGAGTGGTTTTCCATTTGTTTTTTCTCGCTAGGCGTGTATTATAGGCCGAGTAGATGATATCTCCATAAAACACGGGTTATCTTAATTACTTCTCTTATTATTCTTAATTTTAGAACCACTAACTGAAGGAAACAATAAAGGATAGTTATAATTAATTAAGATTCAAAAATATCGTCCACCAAACACGTGGGTGCGTGCGCACGTCAACACGACCCTACGATGACAACCCGCTCAAGATGGCCGCTTCCCCAGTGCAGAAAATTATTTACCTACTACTACTACTACATACAGCAAGGCGCTATATGCCCACGCACAAATGTGTGCGTGAAGGCAGGGTTACCCATCACTTTCTCACATTATTACGTTACGTGTGGTCAGAGCGGCAACATAGCGAAAATTCTGACGCGAATCTGTTATCCATGATTATATTATAGATTTTTGTTTTTTTTTTTGTAATAATAGAATCCTAATAATTAAATAAATACTTGTCTATTAGGTATTTATATCGATATATTATTCTAATTAGAGTAATATTGAAGATTTTTTTCAAAAATATATTAAAAGCACTTAAAATGTTATATTTCGGACATAAGTAAGGTAACCAAGGTATTTGAAATAGCTTGTCCAAGTTTGGTTAATTATTAGATATATTCACTACCTACGTAATATTTATCGGCAATACGAATAGGAATTTGGGAAGTCATGGCGTCTCATTATATTGATATAATAAAGCTGTATTTTTTGTAGATACATATATTACTCTGCAGTAAATAAATGAAGAAAAGAATAACTGAATGAGTCTGAGAGTCGTATTCCAGAACTCTACTCAATACTCAAGTCAGGATTTGAGCAGACTTGAGTATGGTTTCAAGCACTGGAAATACGACCCTAATGGCAAGGACTTGAGTATGATTTTTAGTGCTGACTGCAATACTCAAGTCCTGACTTGAGCATTGAGTACAGTTCTGGAATACGACACTCAGACAGTTTTTTTTACTTACTTCGTTTCATCTTTCGGAAAATGATGATAAACAGCCGTACACAAAGTCACAGCACAATTCACGACCATTATAAATAGTAACGTAAAATGATGTTTTATATTAACGTACAAGTTTCGTAATGAATAAATGAACTATATTCAAATATCAAAGCCGTCTTCGCGCGAAAACGGCTCGCCGGCAGCCTTGTTGTCGTTCAGTCAATGTGACCGGCAATGTGCGGGGCGTGGTGCGGTATCTAAAACTAGGGAGGGGCGGAGAGTGACCGTTCTCTATTCTTTATTCTCTGCCACTGCTTGGTGTTCGTTCTACTATTGATGCTAGGTAGCGCTAGAATCGTTTAAATGACGACCATCGATTAGATGTGATGCCACTAATCTCCTACTTTGCGAAATACTCCTACATTTCAATATACGCGACTGTATCCCACAATCTCGCGATTAACATTTCTCGTACGAGACATCGTGAATAGTGTTTACGTTGCAGAGTTTTAATAAAGAGTCTATGTAGGCAGCAATACGGTTCAATGTTACATCAACAAATTTTTCAAATCTCGTCTCGCCCATCCTCGTCAATCCCCACCATTTCCACCGAAGATGCGCTAGGAGAGAATTGATATTTTGCCATACAAGTTTTAAAAATCATCTAGCCTCTTCTCGTCTCGTCTCGCCTTGCCGGTGGAAATACACCCTGATACTGCTATTCTCGCATAGAAATCTCGCGCCCTACTGGTGACTTTTCACAACTTTATACCTTAACTTGCAAACTTTAAAATGCTTCTCCAAACAATTTCAAAAAAGTTACCTTTGCCCATTTTTCCTTTCGTCCACTGATATTACAAGTATATATGCATACATACAGACAACTTGTCGTCTGTATGACTAAGGGAATAAAAGTAACCACATCACTTCTGCCTTTGCTTACTCTCAGGTGAGATTTGACTTGCACAACTAAGAATATACACTTGCAATTTATTATTGTTGTAATTTGTAATGTAGTGAGTGATGTAATTGGTGACCTATCTCAGACACACACAGGATTTATAGAATTTACCTGTGAGCTATTGTTGAACAGGTTTTGTTACATTTATTCGAAAGCACATTTCAAAACACGATTTTTCGTGTGTAAAACACTTTTCTGACATCCTGACAATTTATTTGCTTCCTAATTCTTATTTTCTCAACATGTTGTTTGACGAAAGTAACAATTTGAATATAATAAAAAAAAAGCAGAACTATAATATCAATTGAGTTTTGCATATCTGGATTTGACTCTTCAATAGTTAAAGCAATAAATATCACCACTAATAAATAGTTTTACGAATAGACAATAAACATTATGGCAAATGAAAATGGCAGACAATGTGAAGCCATTATTATAATTAAAACTTTGGTTTATTTTTAAGAAAATTAGATAATGTAACAATAGCCTATTGTTACAGAATTAATACATCATGGTAAGATCCTTAGAGATCAAGCAACACTCCAGGACAGTGGAGTAAAAAGTGGTGAGATGATCCATGTGGTTAAGAAGAAAGTTCAAGCATCACCACCATCTCCGACACCATTCACAGATGCTGAATTGCAGCAGTTGAATGCTTCATTGAGGACTTTAGGTTGTACCCCTAACGCACCTGGGTGGACTAGAGCTATGCAGGTTAATACATACATCAAAACCTTTCATTTTCTTCAGCAGTCATCTAGGTACCTTCTTTGAACGGCATTGTGAACAGAAGAATAAAGTTAGGTTAGGTCTAGTTTGAGCTTCTGTGTGCTAAATTATTATTTTTCAATACTACCTGCCATTATTTTTAAATCAAACTTTTTTCAAAAGTTATTCATTTGTTGTTCAAATATGAAGTAAATAAATGTGAATATGTCAATAAATACTTATACTGACTTGAAATTTATACCACTGACTTATAACATGTATATTTACCAATATACATTAATTATTACTTTATAGCTTTTAAATGACGACGCAGCAATGTCCGAAATACTTGAACAGGCTCCAGGCCTAAGTGAAGATTGTGTAGCACTATCTATCCTTCACGAAGTGGAGTTGCTCGCAGCATTAGGAGCAAATCTACAGACAATGAGACGAGGCGCTGAAGTCCATCCGCATTTGCCCCATGCGCTACGTCACTTGACGCGTTTAGTACGCTCCAGGTCTAATACTGCAGCAAATACTGATAATGGTAAGTTCAATAAGATGCCTCTGCACCACCCACCAGCTCTTATACCACCTATTATCTTGTGAAGGAAATTCCCTCATATATTGTAAGGACATAAGGATGTCAGATCAGTCAACATCAATTGGCTGGTGCCATGTGTATTTGTTTGTAATATTTTCCTGATCAGTATAGTACATGAGTACAACAAGTAAATGGTACGTCTACTGGTGTCAGAATAGCAAATGAATGAAGAAAAATTAAACTGACGTGTCAACAGAAACAACACAGAATGTTAATAACATAATATTACTGTTAGTCAGTTGTAAATAATGCTAATTATTTTTTGGTATTACAATAATTGAATATAAAACAGAAGATACATTCATTATTATTAAATATATTAATTACTCCTGGTATAACATATCCGTATTCAGCTGTTACCAAAGCGTACACTACCAGATAATTAATATTGATATCAGATCTATTTCAGCGGAACCAATTTCCGAAAATATAGGTGTAATATACTGGTAGCTTCGCATGTACCGCTGCTGTAGCTGCTGCAAAGTTAATAATCACGGGTTCCTGAAAATACCTATATTATAAGCCTTGGAAGCGACAGGCTTTGCCCGTACCGTATCTTAGTCCCCAGGTCTTTTCTCTATTCATATTCAAGTAATCTAACGCACCCTAAAGTACAAGAATATGTTGCCTCTATCTGATAATCCAGATGCCAGAGATTTATGTGCTACATAATAATTTTTTTTAAAGCCCTGTCCCACTGCTGGGCAAAGCCCTCCCTCTCCTCTCTCTACATCTCTCTGTTTTGCGCCACTAGGGACCAGTCTTTTAGGTGCGCGTCTAGCTCGTCTCTCCATCGACGCTAATGTATACATAAGCACGCTATACAAAATTACACAAAACAAAATGTTTCCAAATAAAATCGTTTGCCAGGACAAAATGCCAAGTATATCGAAATTATGCCCGATAGAGGGAACGAATTTCAGTTTCAATGTTACAATTTATTTTTCATGTCAATTTGTAGTTCCTACATCAGGATTTGCTTATTCACTGGAGGCTTTATCGGACGACGAGGAGGCTGAGGAAGAAGAAAATGAAGAAGGAGAGAGGACACCCATTACTCAGGAGCAGCTAGCTGCAGCGCTACAGGTTGGTGTTCTGTACTACTTGCCTCACATATTGCAAAAGAACTTCGCAGTAGTATATAATAATGGCTATACGGTTTTTAAAAGTGTAACCACCCGTTCACAAGGTGGTTGCGTTTTTGTAGTATAAACGACGTTTTATTCCCTTTCGATCGATGGCGGCAATAAACAAACATTAATTGAATTTTTTTATTCCATTTTTTTCCACTGGCAACTACTGGGATATTATTTTGTATTAATACAGTAATTACATATGTCTTAAGTAAAATTAAGTACATTGTATTCAACCTACAAGCAGATATGCAAATATTAATGGGATTAAATGTTTAATCTCTATACTTTTGAATTAATGTAATGCATTTGTAAATTCCAAGTATTCTTTATACTATAGAAGCAATGTGTCGTCAGTCGAAGTCATTTTGTCAATTGTAATTTAAAAATAATGTCCTTGTAACAATTTTATTTCATTTGGTAATCTATTGAAACTAATTATACACATGTTAAAATGGGAGTTCTATGCGGACAGCCAGAGTGAGCAGACGTGCCACATGCGCTCCCGAGCCACTCGCTAGTCCCGAACCTTATTTTCTACGTCATTGTTCACCGCGTCTATTGTCCCTACCCGCGCGCGTTGTCTTACCGACAGTCAACTATTACGAAACTCGAATTACTCAAAACCAACACACTAAAAAGAAAATCTAAAAGTACCGGTTATCATTGAAAGTGCTTTTTCAAATAGTGTAAATAAAAGTGCATCAAATTAAATACTCAAAAATAACATCCTGAAACCAAAATATAAAAGTGTCGTTTACCAGTAAAACTGCAATAAACTGTATATACGTTGTGTAAACGTGGTTCGAAAAGTCTGCACTTTTCAAACTTTTTGTGCAAATCTCATCTACAATTAAGAATAAGAAAAAGAACCTGCTACCACCTGCAACCTGCACGCAACACACACGCGAGACCACAAAACCCGGTGAGAGACACCCAAATCTTTTCTTTACACCAACTGCAGGAAAGATAGAACCAATGGTTACTAGTTAATTCTCCGACGCTTTCCTATATCCACTACTTTTTTATCAGAGACGCCGTTCAAACGCGTGAATCGACGATTTCTGTAAAGTAAGTTATGTGCTGTCCCATACATTTCGGAACCAGTGCGTTATAATCACACGCCAACCATTTGGAAAATTAAACGAGACTGTCTAGGTATTAAAAAAGTAAAGTATAGCTGACAATAGACACTTTGCCCCCCTATATCGGTTTTTCATGCAAACTGTCAAAATAACCATATTTCCCTTATAAAAATAAAGCTAGACGTAAACATCCAATAAAAAATCTTCAAAAGAAAACACATAAATATAAAGAAATAAATATTCCATCTCAATATTCACGGCGGGTAAACCCAAAATCCAAAAATTAAAACTAAGTTCTACACGTGCACAGCTGCATCATAAACAAATTATCCAAAAGAACCGACAACAGTAATACAACACAAGTCATGCAATTTACCCTAAAGGTCCCTTAACGAATTTCGAAACCCAAACATCTGCAAACAGTTTTTCAAATACAACAAAAGAATCGACAATCAACTAAACGATCCACCATCTGAACGAAGACTAAAACCCAAAACTGGCTAAAGTGTCATAAAACATCTGCTACTAACAACCCAAAAACACCAAAACTGGAATCTAACCTATGTACTAACCTAACCTTTTTTTTTTAACGGTGGAGAAATGCTTTATGCATACGACCGAGCTGGGGAGGCTCGGAAGTTATGTGGGACTCTCCCCCCATACCGCACTAAAACTCCACCGGCGTTGCCCGCAAGGCCGGGTGTCGTGTGTGCCGTGGAATCCCGAAGATTCGACCACAACAATGTACTAACTTAAACTAGAGTAAGCTCTTTTCCACCGGTCAATCATAAAAATAAAACTATATAAATAGTGGACATCCCAACAAATACCTCAATAGTTCAAGTGCAAGCGGATGGAAACTGAGTTATTCTATAATACCTTTGACCACCACGCAACCGTAGCTACAGTGAAGATAAGGAAAAAGTCCTACGCCATATGTACTTTATGCAACAATACCAAGATGGACAGTGGGGAGGAACGGATATTTTAATAGCAGTCGCTGAATTCTACCACATGGATGTCAAAGTATATCAAAGAAACAATACTTCAGCACCTTCAGTAATTTTCACTCCAAAAACCAATGATGCAGTGGATAGCATCAACCTTACCTACAATAGAAACCACTACATAGTCCCGTAATAAGTCGGATCTCCGAGTACTCTCCAACACAATACATGACCGATAACGCCCCAGAAGAACAGTCGGATAACACAGTCACTCTGAAAAACTCGCTAGAAAAAATAAAAATAGCTACCTGGAACGTACGAGGTGCAGCTACGCCAACAAAAAAGCAAACAGATGTCCAATTAGAAAACAAAGGAATTCACATAGTTTGCTTACAAGAAACATGAACACGGGAACATATACATCAAAATATTATAACTGGTACCTGAGCAAGCAGAAGAAAAGCCGCGACTTAGCAATATTGGTACGAAAATATACTGATCTTCAAATGAAATCTATCACAGAAGACTACCAGAGAATGACAACCACAATAACTGGAAAACACACTAAAAAATGGTACATAATCACGGCCCACATACTAAACGCTATATCCAAACCACCGAAAGCATTTTCAGCACTCCAAAAACTCATAAAAAACTGTAATATTTATAGGCAAAGACTGCTCGAAGGGCGCAGAAAACTCTAAACTTACCTCCAAAAACCTATTTCATGAAACAACCAACGACAACGGCGAAATGCTCCTGAATCTAATCAAAACAGAAAAACTCAGACTTGTCCAACGTCATTTGGCCAAAAATCTTGCAAAATTAATTGGCAATCCGGAACCAGACTTTCACAGCTAGACCATATTATCACATCTATAAAACTACCTCCCATCTTCAACTTCATTGCAGGTGCACATGCTGAGAACATTACTGACCACAGAATAATTTTTAGCGAGGTAAACTACCAACGACTGAAATCGAAAACACGTAGCATACATCAAAAGATACAACCACCGACAACAAAGAATTTAACCACAAAAACTTTGACTATCAACAGCTACAAGGAGAGAATACGGCAACCAAATTCAAAATGAAGTGCGGGAAATACTTTTTGTTCAGGACGAAAACGTGTTCGCGCCCATGTGATTTTTAA